GGGGGGGGGGTGGTGTTGGAGGTGGGTTTGCAACCATAGCTTAAAATGAGGCTTGCAGGTAATCTGGATCAAGGGACCTGGAGTCCACGGACTCAACGGGGGCCACAGATAGGTTCCAGGGGTGGTGTAAGGACCTTATGATAGTGCTGGAGCATGTGATGCATGGATTTGTTTTTTTCCTAGGGAGAATACTCCTAGGTATCACTGGTCACTCAAAGTCTGCATGCGTCACCAGCACCTTGGAACCTACTCCAGCCCTCAATTCCCTACTGACTTGGCTGCTTCTTTTCATGGAGTTCTCCCCCAATCACTTAAATTACCTTTGGGATTTTCTTTTTATAAGATTTGAGCCCTGGTGGGAGACCTGTTCCCCTCTTTGTTACATCCCAGGTTTTTCAGAGACCTTCTGCTCCCCGGTGATGTGAATTCGCTGAGCAGCCAAGAAATACTGTGGTTTTCTCAATAGTGTACATTTTCTGGGGGAGGCATGTTTCCTGAACATTTTGAGACTACTGGCTAACCAAGAGCCAGAAATTCAAATAAGAACTTACAGATGCACCTGAGTTTAATTTCATTTTCATTTTTAAAAGACAGATAGCACTTTTATTTTCTCTTCTCATCAAAACCATTTCTCTAAAACAACTTTTTTCTTTATAAAAACTCCCTCCCTGCATTACAGTGTCTGACCAGTAACAGATATGCCCGTTCTTCTGACCGCCTAGTATATGTGATTTTTTTCCCCCACTTTTGGTTGTTTATGAAATACAAGTTATGATCTTGGTAGTTCCTCCAAAAGTGAAACACAGAATTGTCATATGACCCAGCTGTATTCCAATCTCAGTTATATACCCAGGAGAACTGAAAACATATGTTCATACAGAACTTGTATATGAATGTTAACATTATTCATAATAGCCAAAAAGGAAAAGCAACTCAAATGTCTATCAACTGATGAATAGATAAATAAAATGTGGTACAGCCATACAATGGTATATTATTCACCCATAAAAAGGAATGAAGATTGATACATGCTACCACACGGATGAACCTTGAGAACATTGTGTTAGGTGAGAGAAGCCAGGCACGAAGGACCACATATTGTAGGATTGTATTTATATGAGATGTTCAGAATAGGCAAATCCATAGGCAGAAATCCAGAGACAGAGAGTAAATTAGTGGTTGCTAAGGAGATAGGGAGGTGGGGGGAATTGGTGGTCACTGTAGATAGGCAGTTTCTTTTTGTAACGATGGAGATGTTCTGGAATTAGTGGTGATGTTTGCACAACATTGGGAACATACAAAAAAAATTTCAAGTTTCAAAAAAACTGAAAAAAATTTGGGGTGCATTCAGATGGAATCTTCTGAATGCTTTAGGACCTAGTTTCTCAATATTCTATGCCGTCTGCAATCCACAAACTCTGTGAACTGCAGGATTCCCAGGCCTCTTGTATTACCCCCACCCATGCCCACCAGGAGTCTGTGGCCCACAGTTTGGAGCCCGTATTCTGACATGATTCTGTCAGTAAGCTGAGCCCCACCCCCGGACATAAGGTATGTGTTGTGTGACCGTATGGTGCTGTCGTTTGTTTTAAGTATATAAAAAAGGTGAAGCAATTATAGCAATTCATTTTTGTCCCTAGGAATTCACCCAACACGATGTCATCTCCTCAGGTCACCATGCCAGGCACCTGCCATTACATTTAAGTAGGCAAATAACCAGGACAACTGCTGAAACAGTGGAATCTTCTTGATTTTACTGGTTAGAGCTGAGCTGCCAAAGGTACTGGGTTTTCATATACAGTAACAGCCAACTTGTTGCGATCAGACTTCCAGTGACATCGACTTCTGAAGCATCTGTGAACCCAGGGGGATGTGGGGAGAAAAGCAGGAGACTCAGAGCCTCCTGAAAACAGCGTCCAAAAAAGCCCATACATCCCTCCTCAGTAGCAAAGCACACCTGACACATAGGTCATACTTGGTCTCCTGGCTTCCCCAAGAACACTTCCATTCTGCCCTGGAGGTTTCCATCAGAGAGCAGGAAGTGAAGAGCAGAAGACTCAGAAAGCAGGTTAGAAGAGGAGGAGGGTGCTGGATTGGCAAGAGGTTATAACCCTAGAAACAGATAGCTTCCCAGTCTTGTACAGGAACACATTTGTATCATGTGCACAAGATAAAGAACAGGTAAAGCTGTTTCAAAGTATAGCCAGGGGTCATGCAGTATGGGAGTAAAAAGTCCCAAACACCACAAATGCCCCAGATGGCTTCACCAATAGAGCAGAAAGCAGTAAAATTCATCAGTGAAAACAGCACAATAATCCGTGAAAGGCAAAGCCAAGCCCTATGTATTTTGATAGCTCCTGATGACATCACTGCACCACACCAAGGTACAAAAGGGGCTGATTTTTACAACGATGACCATGACTCATCAAGAAAAGGTTAAATACTCTCCAGTATACTCTGTTTACTAAGGCAGGGAAGTACGTAATGCATTTTAGAAAGATTTCCCTCAAAAAAAAAATATTAAAATTTTAAAGTTCAGCACTTAAAGGGTTAATCCTCTGTTATCTGAATATTTGCTTACATACCTCATTTTACAACAATGCTAGTAAATGAGGCATTACTTTTTTTTTATAATCATTAGTATCAAATTATTGGCACCATTCAGTTTTAAGGATAGGGACAGGAGAGCAAACTATACAACATAAAAATACAGTTCTGATACAAATATATGAGATCAACTCCACTTAACAAGTGGTCATAAGAAATGGATGGACATTCTACACACAAGGAAATACAGCTAGTAAATCATCACGTGGAAAAGTGCTCAGCCTTGCTAGCAATTAATGAAATAAAACAACCTTTCAAGAACAACTATACACATCTATTAAACAAGCAAAAATAAATTAAAATGGCAAAACCCAATACTGGCAGAACTACTGGTAAGTAGAAATGCTTATACATTGCTGGTGGCATTATAAATCGTAGACGGATTCAAGCATTCAGAGGGAATAGGGGAGTTGAACTAATGACCTTTAAGGTCCTTCCAACCCAGAGATTGGATCTTTCTAGAAAGCAATCTGGCAATATGAAACAAGAGCTATAAAGTATTTCATGCTCTTTGACCTTGTAAGCCCTCTTTGGAGATATTCCCAAGGGAAGAATCCAAAGTAAGGAGCATCTTTTACAAAGGCATTCATAGCAGCAGTATTTATAAGAGTGAAAAATTGGATAGAACTCAAATATCTGATAATGGGGATAAGTGAGGTTAACCATGTTATGTGGATATAGAGACATTTAAATTGGTGAGAGCAGGATCTGTGTTAAAAAGGGAAGATATGTGTTAGGTGGGGAAATACAACCAAAGAGTATATACACACTGATCACAACGATGAAAAAACGTGTGCATATTCATTGGGAGCTTGGGCAACAATTTAGAGGGCTAGCTTGTGGTTAGGGGGTGCCTTTATTCCTGCAAAGTTGTTCAAGTGCATAATAAAAATTTAAAAACACATTTCTTGAAACTATATAAAAAGACAGCAAAGTGTCATCTGGTCAAGGTTCTATCAACAGGACAAGAATTGATCAACTTTAGAAATAATTTTCCTTTATGGAACACCCAAATGGATCTTGGTATTGAATCACCTTATCTTTGTAAAGGATTTTTAGACAATTTAAGCTATAATTTCCTACTTTGGGCTTAGTGAAAAGTTCTGTTTATCCCAAATAATATCGTATCCAACAAACCCACAATTTAAATTATATTTCAGATTTCGCTGACAGTGCTTCAGTCCTGGTGGTCACAACTTTTTTTTTTTTTTTTTTTTTTTTTTTTTTTTTTAGTTCATCGATTCATGTCTGAATAAAAATGAGTGTTAAGGACTTCATAGTATCTGTATAATTACCAGTGTAAATGAAAAACCAGCAGTAAAGAATTATTCTCTCATTAAAAATGACTCTTTAACAAACAGTCAAAGCTTGGTCCAAGTTTCAATCATACAAAATCATGGTTGGGACTGATAGCAAAGGATTCCATGCCATATTAACCCCCTGTGGTTATCAATATATACACACAGGCAGTACTAAAAAGGAATCCCATTTTCCCCATCTTTCTTCTCCTAGGCTTACCAAATCCCGTCCCAACTATACTGAGTAGCAGAAAAACTCTAATACTCAGAAGACAGAAAATAACTTCTCCAATAAAGTCAAGCCGGAAGTTGGCTTCAACCAGCCATGGAGACCTGGTGAACAGAGCACACATCTGTGTGTTGTGCTGGAGTGAGCACACAAAGCCCGAAGAAAGAAAACGGACAGAAGGCACCATGCCATCCTCCAGGCAACAAGGGGAGAATTTCACAGTTCGGTCATCAATAGTCTTTTCATCATTTTCTCTCTTTCCAGTTCCTGCCGGAGCGTCTCTGCACTGAAGAAGAGCAGGTGACAAAATCATGAGATTACGCTAAAAAATGACAAAAACGGGTTCAGCTGAAATGCATCTCCCCCATCTTCTTTCCTGACCTTGGTTCTCGACTCTCAGGCCCCTTAAGGACCCCTGACAGCTGCTAGGGTTACAATGACCTGAAATTGTCTGGCTGCCTCCTGGTTTCCCCCACCAGACTGAGAGTTCTTCAGGACACTGCTCACCAGCAGACTGACCATACATGTCATTTATCTCTGAATCCCCACAGCCTAGCCCCAAAGCCCAGCTCGAGGACTTCGTACATAGCAGTCTCTCAGGAAAGGTCTTCTGAATGAATGGGAAGATGTCCAGGGTCCTGTCATTCATTCTTCTCTGGCTGCACTACCCCCTCACTCTTCCTTAACCGTTCTGGGCATATTCCATTTTAGAAGCCTTAGCATTGGCTGCTCCCTGTGATGACTATTACTCTTTCCCCAAATATCTGAAGACTGCTCCCTTCCCACCTTCAGGTCTCTGCTTAAAAACCACCTCAATGAGGCCATCCCAGAATGCCCCATTGCCCTTGTTGGTTTCATTTTCCTCCCTAGCTTGTTCTCTCTCTCTCTCTCTCTCTCTCTCTCTCTCTCTCTCTCTCTTTCTCACATGAGCGCATGCACACACACACACACACACACACACACATTTATTTAACCTCTGTCTCACCTCCCCCAACACTAATTTTTGAACTCCATAAAGGTGGGACTTTTATCTGTTTTGCTCACTATACATCCCTAGGGTCTAGAATACTATCTAGCCTTTGTAGACGGTTCAATAAATACTCACAGAATAAATGAATGAAAGAATAAATAAGAGGCTTGTTGATGTCAAAAACACAATGAAACTGGAGCCTGTGCCTGCTCTCCCTGTCACCAGGGACTTGCCGGTTACTTGCCGGTGACTCACCTGGCTGCCAGAGAAACAGGCTTCCGCGTGGTGTAGATGGTCTGCACGGTGGAGACGGTCTCTGTCAAAGGCCTCAGGGTCACTGATGGAATCAGTGGGGAAGACTGGCCAGGACAGCACTGTAACTTACTGTCTCTAAAGTCTGCCTGTCAAGGAAACAGAAAAGAGGAAATCAATCTCAACTTGGGTTCCATTTTTATACTGTCAGCTACTCCCTAAGTCTTACCACACAGTTGCTGATATATTTTTTAATAATAGCTAAAATCAATTACCACTTATTTAATGATTTTATTTTGGGCCAGTCATTTTACATATATGACCTCTTGGCAACTCTTAAAGCAGAGGTCAATTTCATCACATTAGACTCCATCAATTGTAAGAACTCCCATTTTTGCACGTGCCACAGAGGACGAAAAATATGGCCAAACTTACCACGCCCACTAATGTAATGAATTTTCTGACTTCAGAGATTTAAAAGGTGAAAAAACGCATACCTTAAAACTGATTTTATGGACAAGAAAAGTAAGTCTCAGAGAGGTTAGGTAATTTTCCCAAGGTCACACAGTAAGCGTTAAGAACCAGGATTAGCTGGCTGCATAATTGGTGTTTTTCACCACTGTAGCAGTGCTTCCCAAAGTATGGTTCCCCAGACTAGCCGCACCAGTATTATCTTGAAACTTGGTAAAATTGCTGTCCTCGAGCCACTCTTAAAAGTCCCGGTGTGATTTCTGGCATTGGCTTCCTGCTGCATCTTGGCCCCTGGCTTTTCAGGAAGGGCTTCCCTGGGTGTCTCACAGCACTGCCAAGGCTGGGCAGGAGGCCAGAGGGCCCGCACGGGGCCAGCTGAGGGGAGTGGAGGCGGAGCTTCCGGCTGGGGAGCGGTGCCCAGTGACACTGCAGGGGCCGGATGAACTTAGGGGTAGTAGCATTTAACAGCCTGGCCCAGCCCGTGTCTCAGGCCCTCTGGTTCTTACAAGGCAGGTGCTGGAAGCTGTTCATGACTTTAGAAATGCATTATTCTAGGAACCTGTTTTTGCCTCTGCCTGGACTGCTGGACGCCTTCTTACCTCTGTTCAACTTCTGAAAGCTACACCAGCCACTTCCTCCCTCTCCATGTGGCTAAAGCCACCTCTGGTTGTGACCATCACCTAGCTCACGAGACTGCACTTTTGGCTACCCCTAGGCCACCCCACAGATCCTCCGGGCTGGCCAGAAAGCCTCTGGAAGGAGCCTCAGGGATCACTCAGTTCTAGGAATTACAAACGCTGATCCCTGGAAGGAGGAGACGGTGAGGGGAAACAGGAGGTGATCTTAGACTCCCCACTTCTGCTCCATGCAGCCCTTGTTACAGAGTGAGTTCTGCAGAAGCTTTCATTTAAAGAAAAGACTTGCAGCTGAAAAGAACCCTGAAACTCATCAAACTCATTCACTTCGCCAGTGAGGAAACTACAACGTTTAAATGCTTCAGAGTATTTCGACAACTTTCAGAGCTTAAAGAAGCTGATGATGCAAAGGGCAGTGGGGGGCCTGAAGCCAGTTGTCAAGGATGACCTGCTCTCATTAACGATACCCCTGCCTCTCCACCCTTGGGAAACAACCTGTGGGACATTCTGTGGCTGGGAACGTTCTGCCAGGTTCTTGATCGCTTTTGATCCTTCCTGAAGCAGACACAAGGAGGATGTTCGTATTACTATTTCTGCTCAGAATAAGAGGAGATCGGTGCTGAGAGTGGCGAAGTGACTTACCTAAGATCACACCATTATCAAGATGTAGATCCAACCCGAAAGAATGGGAAACAGGAACTCAAACAAATCCATGTACACACATGTTCACAGCGGCACTGTTCACAACAGCCACACACCCATCAGTGAATGAAGGAAGCAACACACGGGGGTATATACACAGAATGGAACATTACTCTGCCATAAAGAGAAATGAAGTGCTGATACACCCTACAATGTGCATGAGCCTCAAAAACACGATGCTCAGTGAAAGAAGCACAAAAGGTCACATATTACATCATTCCATTTATGTGAAACATCCGCACTAGGGAAATGCATAGAGACAGAAGGCAGATTGGTGATTGCCAGGGGCTGTGGGGGGTGGGGGGAAACGGGAGTGATTGTGTCACGGGAATGAGGTTTCCTCCGGGGGTGATAAAAATGTTTTGGAACTAGAAGTCGTAGTTGCATGACCCTAAATGTACATGACCCAAAGTGACTACATGTCACTTTGGAATGGTCAGTTTTACTTATGTGATGCTCATAAGTAAGCATCGAATAACTTAAGACAATGAAAAGATGTAGACCCCAAATCCCACTCCTTCCCAACCTGACAGAGTTCATAGGATTAGATGAAGCTGTCGACATCATTGTCTGGCATTCCACAGAAAAGCATGCCACGCGGGAAAACATTTTAAAACACAGACCTGTTTTCTGAATCTACTTACGGCGAACTGTGGCCCTGTAATGAAAGCATCAGGAAACGGGGTCACTGGATCAGCCGGGAACGTTTTTATCTTCAAAAAAGAGAAAGACAAGAGGGTTACTTACCGATTAGCAAAGAGAGTTCTGAAATCTTTGGGGGTGCACTTTTAACACCAAACTGAAAGATTCAGGGGAACCTACGAAGAGCCCGCACGGCTTGTCTAAGGAAACACACAGAAGGTCCCGGAGGCCTTTTGGCCAGTGGTTGTATCTGTACTGGGCCATTGCACTGTTGGGGCCAGGACCCAGCAGGGATGCCCTCTCATGTTTGTAGGGCTCCCCACGCTTACCTTGCCCTGGAACTCCTTTCCCTGGAGGCTGTGTGGGCCTCCCAGGCATGCTGAGCCCTATGTATGGCCTGATCCATAAAAGGCCATGACCAGGGTGTATAATGAGGCAGGCAGAGCTGCCTGGTTGCTGATTGTCCGCCCCCCACCCGCCCCCCAGCTGTGGGCCATGGATTAGGAGCTGCTACAGGCCACATCCTGGGACACAGTCTATGAGAGCAGACAGGGCACCAGGAGGCTCGCACTAATTAGGCCAGAAGGTATTCCCTGTAGTTGTTGGACTCCCTATAAGTTTTGGCCACAGAGGAAAACTGTGGAGAAACCCCTGGAAGAACGTGCGAATCCTGCCACCGTGGCCTTTGGGGATTAAAAGGCACTGTGCTCAGAAGTGCCCAGTGCGGGGGGAAGGCTGCGGCACAGAGCTGGTCTGAGACAGAGTGGAGGCACCAGCCTGAACAGGCGGCAGTGCGTGGCCAAAAAGAGCCTTTGCTCCCATTCCTTCCCCTTTGGTCATTTTGTCTTTGACCTCCTGGGGGCCCTGGGGCATGTGGAGTGTGCTTATTTCTTTCTACTGGCCTAGAGGACTGCCAGCAGGCCCAGGGGCCTGACGACTCTGGTATTGGCTCTGCCTGCAGCCCCCAGGGCTCAGAAACTGCCTGCCTCCCTGCCGGTGAATGCTCACTGTGCCACTTGCCACCAGAGAGCTGCAGTCAGGACACCGAGGCCACCACTGCCCCTGGGCAGGTGCTTTTACGTCTCTCCCAGGAGCTGGTCCGTGGACCCTGGCGTAGCTACCTGATGGCCTTGAGTCACTCTGACGGGGGTTAAAATAGGGCTGAGCAAGAGCACATCAGAACACGCTCAGATCTGCGGAGGGGTTCTGAATGAGTGGAGTACTTCTCAACCAATCTGCGAATGACCATGTCTCTGCTGTGTGCACGGAGATGTCCAGTCCACGCCGGCTCCCCTTCCCTAAACTCTCTCTGGCCTCTTTAAACATCTCAAAATTCCCAGGATGGGTCCCAAACTGCCTTAAGACTCAGGAGTCAGAGAGTCTGGGCGGGTCAGTTGGTTAAGCGTCTGACTGGACTTCAGCTCAGGTCATGATCTCGCGGTTTGTGAGTTCGAGCCCCCACATTGGGCTCTGCACTGACAGCACGGAGCCTGCTTGGGATTCTCTCTCTCTCCCTCTCTCTCTGCCCCTCCCCTGCTCGTGTTCTCTCTCAAGAATAAATACATAAACATTAAAAAAAAAAAAAAGACAAGACTTAGGTGTCGATTCAAATTGTCAGTAGCGGCTGCCAGCAGCATGGCGAGAGGATCCAGGGGAAGCCCCATGGTGCATTCTCCTCCCGGGCCTAATGGTGCAGCATGTGTTCTGAGACCACTAGCAAAGTGAAAAGCTGCATACAGATAAGACTCTCAGACCATCATGAAGTAAAACGGAGAAGAGGCATATTACTGCTATTAAAGAAACGTGAACATTGGCAGCTTTAAAGAATTATCTTACATCTTCTCTAAGAAAAAAAAAAATCTATCCCAACAGTTACACTCTGTGTTGCTCAGCTGTGGCAAAGTATATTCCCTCTTCTGGTGGTGCTGTCTCTTGGTAGAATCACTTTAGAAAGGGAGCAAAGCCAAGGTCACAGTATTGAACCCAGCAGGGTTCAGCCTGATGCAACAGCTTTTTGTGTTCCCTCGAACAGCAACAAACTGGAAACAAAGCACAGTCCTGCAGTAAGAATGTGGTAGGTGAATGGTAGGCCAGTCCCTGGATGGAATATACACAGTCATATACAATGTGGCAACAAGAACAAGGAGAAACAATCCAACATTAATAGAAAAGGGAAAAACAGGAGATGATATGGATACTATGACTTAACATTCTAAAATTGTGAATGGACATGAATAAATACTAGAAGGACACATGTAAGAATGAAAAAAAATGTGCTCGGTTGGGGATATGGGTGTTTCCTTTCAGGTTGGTATGTGACATCCTGTTATCTTGAAAAATAGCAGGAAAAGACAAGTTTAAAAAAAAGTTTTTATTTTCAATAGAAATGCAACTAAGGTTTTTCTCATCTAGGCTGATCAAAGCTTTATGAAAATGAACTCTTCCTGGTTCTTGAGACCTAGAGACACAGGGCAGGCCAGCAGCCACGTGTCCTAATTTGGTCAAACTATGTATCCATCCTGGAGTCAGAGCACCTGTCAGCCGGGCCCTTCCGGAAGGTCTAGTGCTCATGCACTCCCGTGGGGTGGCCGCCTGGTGGCTCCTGCCCGCCTCACCTCTCCTGGCCAGGCCCCTCTCCCTGGCAGGGTACCTACCAGCCTCGTTTTGATTGGAGGGTGCATGCAAACTCCAGTGGTCTCTTCCTTCATGGGGGGAGAGAGTGGAGGAGAACAGCGAGAGTGGGCACAGTGGGGGGCGCTGGCGGGCTCTGCCTGCTCGCGAGGAGGGGAAAGAAGGGGAGGAGGAGGTGGTGAGAGAAGGGGAGGAGGCAGAGAAGATAAGGGAGGGGAAGGAGAGAAAGACAGCACAGTGCAAGAAGGATCTGTCAACTCCAGACTGCTCTGGAGCCAGCCTCGCCCGAGCCTGCTTCTAGCCCCTGGCCAGCTGGCTTTTAGGCCCCCCTCCTCCCTCGTCTCCCCACCTTCTCTCCTCCTCCCTGGCTCTCATCTGTTTTCTCCACTATCCAAGCAGAACAACCCATCAAAACCCCATTCCCGGGGTTGGCAGGCAGGGGCCATCTCCTGTGCCAACTGCGCGGGTCTGGCAGTGGCTCCCTGCAGCACTGGCCAGGCCAAGCCAGAAAGAGAGCCGCGATGAATTAGTGATGCTGGCCGTGCAAGCAGTATGAGGAATGGCCACACACTTGAGCGTGCTGGCCTTCCATGCCTGGTGGCCTCCTGCACCCTGCTAAGTAAGGGCCCACCTTATGGTGTGATTAGCAGGTGTCCAACAGAGTGTTTCTGGGAAAGACATACATCAGCAAGGAGGAACATGGACTTTGGGATTTACTCTGTCATGGCTTTTTGTTATCTATGTTCAGAAAACATAATGGCCTTGGCCACCCCCGCTCCCACACCCATGGCCCAGGCCATGACACCTTGTATCACCACCGAGGCACCTTGTCGCTGTAGCCAAGATACCAAGCATCGTGAGAAAATGCCACATCGCTTGGGGTACTGGGTTCCCCACCCCAGCCCTAAGTAGTGCCATGCACCAGCAGAGGTCCAACAGCTTGTACCGGTGAGGATGAGGACGGTGAAGAGACGATGTTCTGATGCTAGGAGAGGGGGCCGCTGACCGGGTTAGTGTGTGTTGCAGGGAGGGACCATTTAATCCAGAGCATAAATACACACGCCTTTTAGTTCAAGAGAGCTTCCTTAAATAGTTGTAAATCCTGCCATAACCAACGAAGTACAGTCTCTGGTAAGTTTCACTGAAACACGGTCAAGAAAATTGCAGGCACCTTTTTCTGTCTCCAAATCGATCTGATTCCGACCTCTTTACATTTGCCCGGTCCTGGGCAATTTCCAAAGGGGCCTTTACAACCATTACCTCGCAACGGCCTTGTTTACTATTCAAATTTGGAGATGCAGAAAAATTGCACCTGCAAAGTCTGAAGCCGTGGTTCTAGACCCTCTTGTTGATTGTTTCCGTATCCATTCTTCAGAAACAAGTGAGTCCATAGTAGCCATTTACGGTCAAGTTTCAGCAGCCTGCTGAGAATCCCTCCACTGCTCTCTCCTGTCCTCAGCATGAACCCTCCCCTCCACAAGATGGCATTTGAGACTTGAGTGGGGTGGGCTCCAGCCCGTCCCCCAGCCTCAGTACTCAACACTGTCCCAAGCAGAACCAACTTCCAGGGACCCCAGGCCACAGGGCTTTTGCCTCTGCAGATAAGCAGGCACTCAGGTGTGCTTTTTGAAGAAAACAAAAGCTGGCATAAATGATCAACAAACATGGATATGTTGCCAAATGCCAAAATGTGTACCAGCCATTAGTGTCTCAGCTGAAGGTGGTGATGAATGACAAGGCTTTGCCTGACATTGGACTTTTATAGTAAAGGAATGTTGAGCCATCCCACAAACATTTCTGACCTTTCTACGTAAGCATCTGTTAGTAAATGAGCAGGAAATAAGAGAACATGTGTAATAGGATACTATTTTGAAATAACATTTTATTTTTTTTTTCCTCCCAGCATTTCCTCTCCTCCTTGGGTTTCTTCCACATTCAAGCAGCTAGGTTCTTCTAAGCTACTTGGCTTTTGAGTCTTAAAATCTGACTCTTTGGGGAACAGAAAGATTTTTGGCATAGACAAATGAAGATGAAAATGTGGAAGGCTTCTTCATCATCCAGATAAGAAAAGAGGTTGCCAGTTTGAGGACTGGAGAGAAAAGTCAGAGGCAAAGTGACGAGCGGTAGACATTAGGAAGTCTGACCAGAGGGGCCTGAGCTCCACAGGTGGAGGCCAGGGAACAGGGATTAAAGAGCAGAGGGGGACAAGTGTTCCTCTGCCCAGGTAGAGCTGGGGCAGAATGGCTGTGTGGTATGTCCAACAGGTAGAGATTCTCATGCCATCAGGACCACGACTCCCACCCACCAAAAGGGGCATGAGGGAAGCAGGGAGTGCCCCAGATGTATCAGCAAACAGATGACATCACAACCTAAATAGACTTCCCTCCGTCTCCCTGTGCCCTGGAGAAGACGGATGAATCCCCAGGAACATGGAACAGGCACCCTGATTTGACTTCAGATCAAGCTTCAGCCCTCCTGATAGAACGAGGTTCAAAATACAAATGAGGCTGTTCAGACGGATGGAAAGTTAGTTCTTCTGACACCCAACACAGGCCTTTTTTTTTTTTTTTGGTCCTACAGAACGTTCCTTTGACCAGGCCAGTCTCCTGCCTGGCACATGAACTCTTGACTAATATTCTCTGGCCCAGAACAGACCTGGGTTGTGACTGTCGCTGCTTTGCAGCTGGGTGAGTGGTTCATGAAGTACAGGGATCGGGGACAAGCCCAAAGAGAAAGCATTGGGAACACAGAAGGCATAGATGCTCATGGTGTGTCTGGGAAAAGCCTTATACTAGACAGGGTGGGGATGCTCACGGGTGATATGTGTCATGCCCGTCCTTCCTCTGCTAGCATGCTGTACCCTGTGGAGGATGAGTCTCTGCCCTTCTACACACCATGCCTCACCACTTCTGCTCTGGACATCATATCTCCATGCCTTGCTGTGCCATGCACTGTATGCCTGCCCTCTTGTATCTTCCATGCAATAAAAAAAAAAAAAAAACATGCACACCTGTAAAAAAAAAAAAAAAAAAAAAAAAAAAAAAAAAAAAAAAAAAAAAAAAAAAAAAAAAAAAAAAAAAAAAAAAAAAAAAAAAAAAAAAAAAAAACTCCTGTGGATACTCACTCACTGCCTGTGGGTACCTCAGTGCAAATGGACAGACAGGGTGTTTCACGCTTGCCTTCACTCCTGCCTTCATCCTCCCACCTCTTCTGCCCCACCCACCTCTTCTGTCCCAGGCAGAAACCCCAACCTGACTGCCAGATCTGGGATGCAGATTCCGGCAATGGGCAGGCAACAGCTGCACAGGTTGTAGGGCTGATGTTGCTAAACTGAACTACATAATAAAAGAGTGGGCACTGGAGCAGAAAAGATATGGGAAAAGTGTTACAGGAGTGTTGCTGGAAAGAATGTGGTTTTTTTTTTTGGAGAGTATGGGGATGAAAATCCTTGGAGTCGCACAGGGTGCAAGAGAATTAAGAAGGAAGCAAGTTGTGATTCGAGAAGTGTTACCAGGGAGGTGATAATTTAATCTTGGATCTTGAGAGATGCCAGTTAAAGACTGAAACTTGTTATTATTCTCAGCTGTTTGGACTATGCTTCTTTGGAAATCACGCCACACAGAGACTGGATCATCAGGGTTGGAGCCATAAGGGTTAAACTAGTGCTGATAACGTCTAGGTGGGACCACGCTGGATGAAGGCAAGAGACTCTGGTCCCAGCTCTCTCTCTCTCTTGTTCTTCTAGCTCCGGCCCACGGAACCAGGGTAGTAATGTAACTTTAGGAGTCTCATCTGGCCCCAGACCCTAAATCCAGGCTCTCCTCCACTATCCTCTGGGGCAGATACACCTCCACAAGGACAGAAGGGACTACTGCTTCTATTTCTATGATCCTGGGAGGAGCAGAGGGAGGAGGTGGAGGGGAAAGGTCCACACAGGAGAAGCAGGCTGTCAGGGTCCCCCTTCCTCTCTAGGACCCTTCGGCACTGGTGGAGACAGGACTCTGAAGTGAAGTAAAATCAAAGCCAGTAGTGCCAAGGAAAGCCCCAAATGAAGCAGGCTCTTGACATCAAAATACCAGCCCTCCGCACCCCTTCTGTGGGAATGTGCCCTGTGGACATGCACGCACACCTCAAGTCCACACAAGCAACACAAAGGACACTTCATCCTGGGAACGCATATCCACTGCAAACTTTAGCTGTGACGCGGGCAGCCGTGTCTCAGTGCAGCGAAAGGACGTCAGCTGCCCCGTGCCAGGGCAGTGCAGCACCCCACACTCTGTTTCGGAGCTCAGAGCAGCCCAGAGATGGAAGCAAGGTGTGCTCGGAGAAGGACTGAGCTCCCTTTTGCCAGAAGGGTACAAGCAGAGGTTGGACACTCACTTGGTAGGCATTAGCGCCTCAGATCAGAGGAACTCTGGGTCCCTGGCAGATGCTGCTTCCTTTCTAATCTCAGACCATTATGGTCAAAGAAAGGATACAGATGAGGCAAGCAGATCTACCAGCTGGATCTGCAACACAGTGGTTTTTAAGGGAATCTCATCACTCCTGTCCGAGCCACAATATGTTTTTTTGTAACATACCTCAACTTCTTAGATATGCCAGAATGTTTAATAAATACTCAGTATTTGCTTATGCTGTACCCTCCGCATAGATTGTTTTGCTCCATTACTTCCATCTGGCAAACTCCTACTCATACTTCAAAACCCTAGCACTATGAAGCCTTCTTTTTCTCAGTGGCCCCAGACAGGGTTAGGCACTGGGTTTCACAGCAGTAGCCGTTTCTATAGACTCTCTTATGACATTAATTGCAGCATGCTCCAGCAGTCTGGAAGTTGCTTAAGAGGTTAACTCACAGAGAGATCTTCCCCCACTGTCCTCTACTCCTGCCTGGCATGTTTTCTTCAATGTGGGTCTAGGAACTTAGCTTTCTCCCCATTCTGCCTTCATAGGCCCTCAGGTCGTGCCCCAGGGGTTGTCGGGTCCTTCCGGGGTTTGCTGCCCTCCAGCTGAGGGTTTGCAGTCTCAGTCTGAGGAGCGCTTTAGACACAGCCCTTCTTCCAGGCATTGTTCTTTTCCAAAGTGGCAAGTCCCTGAAATCCAGATGCCAGACTTAGCCCAATCTGATGATGCACAGGGCACCAGAGAAGGAGCTGGAACAGCCGGGCTCAAGCTCGGTCCCTGTGTGATTACCCTACTCTGGGACTCAATTTCCCCATCTGTGCAAAGGGAGGACGAGGTGAGGGAAGGCCCTGCTTCTGGGTTACCCTATCATGACAATCTGTTTAACAAGAAGGCCATCAGTAAGTCAGCTGCGTTTTCTCCAACATGGGCAGGAAGGAACTCTGAAGGTTCCCAGACCCCAGGGTGTCTTGCCCACTGTCGGTTCTCGGCTGTTTATCCAAACATGCTGACTCGAAGCTCTCAGACTGTACCAACTCTCCAGATGACAAGGACAACTGTTTAAATCACAAATGATTTCCTTGTGCCAGCTGAGGCAGACACAGCGATCATTCCTCAGGCCTAGGCAGCATTTTGCCTCATTTGCCTCCTCTTGAAAGCCTTCTGGAAAGCCTTCCTCTCCACCATATTCTCCTCCAGTGAGCCAGTCCTGAATGACTCTCACTTCTGGCTTCTCCCCCTGGCATGTCCTACGTGGCTCTCCTGTCGATCCTGGCCCTTTATCAACCCGACTCCCCTCCAGCCTCTAGCTGCCCTGTCCACTCCCAGAGCCTCACACAAGCCAGGTGTGCAGTGAGCTTTCAGGAGGTATTTTGACTCACGTTCCACACGTGTGGACCACAATTTATGCTCAAGTACACTTCAGTATCAGGCTGAGCCCAGCCAAGGGTACCTCCACGTTTGCCTGTGTCATCTAACACTACTAACAACACGTCACACACATTTATGGTGCTGTTACAGTCGTCAAGGGCTCTCTCTCACGTGATCATTAGAACATTCTTAGGCAGACACGAGAAACAATGGCATCCTCTATCCCATGACGAGGCTCCTAAGGAAGGGAACAGAGACCGGAGCCAGATCTGGCCTGCATGACTCCCAGTCCAGTGCTCTCTCCCCCGACAGGGTTTCTCACCTGCAGGAGTTCCATGAGGACCATCCCTAAGGGGAGACATGTATGCAGGGGATAGAGGACGGCAGGGAGGCACGAGGGGCTTGGAAAGCTGAGAGGAGGCCTGGAGCCCGTGCTTCAGACCGGAGCACATTGTTAGAAGCGGCAGTGAAAGATACCCCTTGGTGGGCATGCAGGGAGCAGCCCCGGAAAAGCCAAGAAGCCAAGACCCAAGCACCGAGGAGCCCTACATGCTATGGGAGCAGCAGACAGGCCGGGCGGGACCCCTGTGGCCTCCCTCAGGAGAAAGGGAGCGCCACCTCCCTGGAGAGCTCTGGGAGGTAGAGGGAACCATGCGCCCGAACCCTGAACCCCTGAACGAAGGCTGATCCCCGAGGCTCCGGGCTGTGAGCAGGACAAGAGGAAGAGCCTTCCCAGTGGCAATGCCCACCTCCGTGCATTCGCCCCACTATCAAGATGTTTCTAAAGCCTGGGGCTTTTCTGGTTTTAGCACACTGGGAGGTTTACCAGAGGAGTAGCTTCCGTGAAGTCCATCAGGAGATCGCCTGGCTCCAACGTAAAGGCACCTCCTCGGTCAGAGGGACTCTAGGAAGGTGCACAAAACATCGCTGGTTAGTGCCGGCTCCAGACGGACAAGGGAATTTCACCAGAAAACACAGTTTCCTCTCCCTCCTCTCCCTCCCTCCCATCACGGAGCCCATGACTCTGCCAGTCCTCTATACCATTCCCTTGCCCAGCAGCGTGCAAGTGGGAGAGACCAAACCCCACATGTTTTCTGAAACCTTAATGGGCAGAAACAGTATGTAGCTAGAGAACTGCCTTCTTTTAAAAGGTGCCAACAACTTCTCTTTAAGTGCTTTCGGTGCTCTTTGACTGGTCTTTTGGAGGAGGAGATGCTTCAAACAGTCCTTTGAATATAGAGAGAGCAAAGACCCCATCCTGGATCAAGAGGGCCAAGGCCTCAAGGAGCTAAACTCATGGGCGCAGGGGGTACATGGTTGGCTCAGTCAGTAGAGCATGGGACTCCTGATCTCAGGGTTGCAGGGTTGTGAGCTCAAGCCCCATGTGTGGCACAGGGTTCGCTTTAAAAAAGAATTTAAATGGGGCACCCGGGTGGCTCAGTCCATTGGGTGTCCCACTTCGGCTCAGGTCATGATCTCGTGGTTCATGGGTTGAAGCCCTGCATGGGGATCTGTGCTGAGGGCTCAGAGCCTGCTTCGGATTCTGTGTCTCCCTCTCTCTCTGCTCTTCCCCTGCTCACACAGGGTGTGTGTGTGTGTGTGTGTGTGTGTGTGTGTGTGTGTGTGTTTCTCTTTCTCTCTCCCAAAAAATGAACAAACATTAAAAAAATAAAAGAAAAAAGAAGTTAAAGAAAACCCTCATCTGCGTAATAATTAGGAAGATCTTTATGGTGGGAGGGAGGTATTCTCCGAAAACCATGTTCAGTTTTTGGGAAAACATTTTTTCCTCCTGTCCTAGGGTCTCAGCAGCATGGGAGGCCTGGAGGCCCTTTGTGGGAAAAAAAAATAAACCCCATCAACTTGGCACAAGCAGGGCCCTAAGGAGAGAGATGGCCAGGAGAGGGAGCCCTGTGGCCTCTGGTACGATGCCACCCACATCCCCACTGAATTCTCCTTTGTTTCATAAATATTTTCGCTTGGTTTTAACCATGGTGAAGAATCTGTGATAGGAACCTGTGTCTACACTTGGGACAAAGCAATATCAGGGATTCTGCACAAGACAGGGGAACCCAGGAGCTGATCTGCAGGAAAGCAGGGAGCCTCACTCGGGCCAGCCGCTGGCTGCGGAGTCCCTGGCCTGAGCAGCCTGTCCTACTGAGGACCACAAAGTATCCCAAAGACCCTGGGAAGGGAGCTGAGAAATGACTGGCCCTGGTCAAGGAGGATGTGGCCTGGCCCACTGTTACTTAGAGGCTATCAGGAATCGTGACCTGTTTGCCCAGATGTCACCTCCACTGGACTGGACACTGGCCCATAAGCTGGGCAGGGAAGCAGATCTTATTCTCATTTTTAGGAGGAGGAAGCTGAGGCTTGGAGAAACAAGGGCTGTGGAGTGACAGCTCATTGCAAGCAGCCAGAAGGCATGTGAACAGAGCAGCTGGAAGCACAGTCTGGGGTCTGGTCTTGCCTTCAGGGCCCCCACCCCACGCACCCACCATTCCTCGGTGGGGTCCACAGACCAAGCAGCCTTTGACTTGGCATCATCTACTTGTAGAGCAATAGGCTTGAATGTATTTGGACCACTTGCCGTAGAGTGACCGCAGCCAAGGGGCACTCAGAGCAAACCAAGAGAAAGAAATGTCTTGAGCAAGGCCTTGTCACAGCCCATTCACATTTCTGGCAACTTCCCGAAATTTCAAACTGACGAAGAAAATAATATTTCCCATTTTTAAACTATTTGTATCGGCCATCTGATATAAGGAATGAGATGGGGACGCTCCTATGTTTTCACTCCTCCAGATTTTCCATTATGGGGCAAAAAACATTTCTTGTTTTCTACCTCTACGGTGCAGTAATGGATTATATAGGGATGATATTCTAAAATCAAAATCACCCTCAAAAATCTCTCCCATTTCTCTTAAAGTACAATGTACAAGGTCTTTCTTACGCCATTTGTGTCTCATAAACTGTTAGGTCATCTTTTGGGGACAGTTCTATAAAAACCCTGCCCCGGTGGTTGCTACCCTTGTTTTACGAGCACACAGTTGATTGTGCCAAGTTTAAATGCTCGAGGGATGCCCTGCACTACATTTATACTGAATTCCTAGCAAATGCAGCTACTCCTCTCGGGGCTTTCCCCCCATACCTTGGCCCCTGGGGACAGCGGGCCCTTGCCTTCTGAATTCTGAGGCGAGCTGACTTTGTGGCCCTTGGGGGACACCAGTGGCGCTGAGACTTGCGTGGTGGCCGTGGTGGTGTGTGTGGTTGCGGCTGTGGACGCTCCTACTGCCTCGGCCAGGTCGGGAGGGAGGTCATCTTCATCACTGCGGTTACTAAAAGCACATGAAGCTCTGCTCATTACAACAATAAACAGGCTGTGGGGAGTGCAGGGAGGGCCGGGAGGGGGCGGGGGAGCTCCCCAAACAGATGTCTGCCAGATGTCCAGCTTACAGGATCCGATACAGTGACATTTTCGCCAAAGCCAATTTGGGCTGGATTTTCTGTCATTTGCCAAGAGGTTCGAATTGTTTTCTTTATTATGGAGAGACATATATGATATTTATCATTTTATCCGTTGGTAAGCATATGATTCAGTGACATTCAAAACATCCACAATGTTGTGTACCCATCACCACTGTCTACACCCAAAACTTTCTCATCACCCTTGACAGCAACTCTGTATCCATTGAACAATAATGCCCTATGCCCTCTCCCTGCAGCCCCCAGGTAACAGCTGTTCTGCTTTCCGGCTGGATGAATTTGACTTCTAGTTCCTCATACGAGTGGAATCATGCAATATATGTCCTTCTGTATCTGGTTTATTTCACTTACCATAATGTTTTCAAGGTCCATCCACGCTGTAGCCTATGTCAACATTTCATTTCTTTTTATGTCTGAATAATATTCCATTGCAGTGACAGGTTGTATTTTGTTTATCCATTCACCTGCTGAGGTACTAACATCTGTTTGAAACCCTGCTCTCAATTCTTTGGGATTGGAATCCCACTTGAGGTCATACTGCCGGGTCATATGGTAGTCCTATGCTTAATTTTTTGAGGAGCCACCAAGCCAAGGGAGTGGCCTCCTTTAGGAGGGTAAATACAAGCCATTAAAGAACCCACTGCTGTGGGGTGCCTGGGTAGCTCAGTCAGTTAAGCATCCGACTTCGGCTCAAGCCATGATCTCATGGTTTGTGGGTTTAAGCCCCGCGTTGGGTTCTGTGCTGACAGCTCAGAACCTGGGGCCTGCTTTGAATTCTGTGTCTCCCTCTCTCTCTGCCCCTCCCCTCCTCAAGCTCTGTCTCTCTCTCTCTCTCTCCCCAAAATAAATAAACATTAAAAATAAATACATACATAAAATGTTTAAAAGAGAACCCACTGCCATGAGTGAAAAGGATAATGGCCCCTTTTGCGGCCTAACAGCAACCATTCCTTTGGGGTCATAAAGTAGTTACAGGGGAGGAGTTGGGCACATTTATTTGGGGGTCCAGCAGCTCTGGTCTTAGAAGCTCTCTGATGGAATGGGATGATCCAGGCAGAAAAGTACACTAGACAGGAAGTCACCATGAGGGAGGACAAGTCTGGGTTGGCATTCTGGGTTTGTCTCCAGGGTGTGGATTTGTGGGGAAGGTTGGATCTCCCACAAGGTATGGCAAGGCAGGAAGCCCTTTTAATCTGGTCATACTGGCACAGGACAGAGCAGCACCATCAATCGCCCCCTCTCAGTATAGACAGTATTTTCTCAAACTTCTAGAAATTAAGACAAGCCCTCTCTCCCCTAATGCCAACCACGTTGCTGCCTGTGCAGAAAAGAGCTAATTCTGCAGGCCTGGGGTGCTCCAGCTCTGGATATTCCAAAGGAACCTCTGGCCACTGGGAGCTCCTGGGAGAACCTCTGGGCCCTTGGAATATCCTGCCTGATAAGGGTGTCACTGCATACCTGAAACCTTGGGCCATGCCACATAGTCTATGCTATCATCAAACTTGAGGGGAGTCTCGGGGACCCTGACACACTTTCCCTAAGGGGCTTCCGTGTGGAATTTCTAGAACTACACTGGCACAGTGGTTATGTTTTAGAAATGATGGCTGAGCAAGGGTGTAGCTAAAAGGCCCATGGCCAGTGGGCACCAGTGTGGCCTGAGCAGGGTGCCTGACGGGGGCCTCACCATGGCAATGACCTCCTGGGAAATGTGGCCATGGTATACAATTGCTGTGGATAGGACTCACTGAGGGAGGGGTCCTGGGGGGTTTCAGATCATTCTGTGTATGTAGAAGCCTCAAGAGGAGGATTTAGAGTTTATTATTAATAAGGGAACAGGTGAGGTTGGAATAAGTAAGTAGGAACATTAATAAGACGCCACATGTTGACTCATTCTATGAAGCCAGTATTACTTTGATTCCTAAACCAGACAGAGACCCAGTAAAAAAAGAGAACTACAGGCCAATATCCCTGATGAATATGGATGCAAAAATTCTCAATAAGATACTAGCAAATCGAATTCAACAGCATATAAAAAGAATTATTCACCATGATCAAGTGGGATTCATTCCTGGGATGCAGGGCTGGTTCAACATTCGCAAATCAATCAACGTGATACATCACATTAACAAAAAAAAAAG